AAAGAAAAGAAAAGAAAAGAAAAGAAAAGAAAAGAAAAGAAAAGAAAGTAGAATTAAAGGAGTACATGGAAAATACATAGAATCAAAGAAGAGCTGAGGTCAGAAAGGACCTCTGAGTCCATCTGGTCCAAATAGTGTTCAAGTAGGGACAACCAGAGGTGCTTCACTGGGTCATGTCCAGACAGCTTCTGAAGATCTCCAGAGAGGCAAACTCCACAGCTTTGCTGGGCATGAATGAAAGCTGTTTGTAGATTGATCAGGCAAGTTGCTCTGTGTGTTTCTGGTAGGTACTGATGACTCCACTCCAGTCACTTCATGAGGTACCCAGCTCTTCCCAGAGAGAACAGCAGAGCTGGCAGTCTGTCTCTCGTGTAACTTGGGCTGGGGTTGAGATGTCTCTTGTATTTGCTATCTAGTCACATTAGTTCAAACAAAGTAATAATTTAAATACAGTGATACAGTGTATGATAGAATTAAACAGTGATGGAAGAGTGGTGCTATTTCTGTTGTACGCTAGCCAAATGATTGGTGTAAGAGGTTTAATTCTTTAGTATGTAGTGCAGGATTTTACTGTAGTGGTGGGAAACATATATGAAGCAACTAACTTAAAAGGCCTGGAGCAGCATGGAAAGACAGACATCACAGGAAAGCCCTGCAGACTAACTTTTGTAATGACATCTTTTTAATTTTTCTGCTCCTTGCTTTGTAAATCTCTTTAAGCTATGTCAAAAGTCAGCCCTCAGAAAGAGAGAGGAGCCAGAGCACAGTCAAGTAAACTAAAGATGTGAATTTCGTTTGTTTGGATTCTAATTTCTGTGTAATTCTTGCTACTTTTACATTTCTGGGTGTAAGAAAAAATTACAACAGAAGCTGCTCTGCAGCCCCTATAAAAATGGTATTCAAGTACATATTTCTGAAAGATTAATTTATGATTCCCAGTTGAGTGCAGGCCAGTTGGGGGATGCTTAGGTGAAGGATGCATGGCAGCTCTAGTTTAATAACTCCTGATGAGATTCCAGTTCTGGTGTTGAACTAGGCTTGTTGCAGTCTAGCTGCAGTGGAGAAAAAAAACAAAACACAAAAACAACCCACAGCTAAAGTAGATCCAGGATTATGAAATACTTAATCTGATTCTGTTGTCTATTTGTTACTGTTTCATTTGACAATGTGGAAGAGAGAAACTAAGTTGCGTACATCACTGTAGTGTTCTCCAGTACTAGTCTCAAAATCATTTTTTTATTATGATCTCTGTTCAATTCCATTTATCTTCAAATAAAATGTATTTATTACAGGCAAAAGCAGCAGATTAACAATTTACATCAGAAAATCAGAGAGAATGAATTACGAGCTCAACATGCAAGACTGAGCCACCTTGTGAACTGCGAAGAACCATACATGACTAATTTGCAGGTAGGGTGGATATTTTTGTTTTAGAGAATCTTTCAATTACGCAGTAACTGCCACTTGAAATGGTGTTCACAGTTCACTGTAGGATAAAATGATGAGTTTTTATAGTTATTAAAGGTTGTGTCTTTGGATAACTGTAAATTGCACAGAGTGGAAAATCCTGAAAATGTTGTTATTTTCTTCAGATTTGTAGAAATTTAAGTTGTATTAATAATGTGTACATGCTTATTTTGAAATCTGAGGAAAGTGGGGTAAGAATCCTCATTCATATTGCAGCACTGTGCAAAAATGGTGGTTTTTTAACAGCACATGTGTAACACAGCTATATAAGGAGATATTAGAAGATAAAATATTTGAAAACACTGATGAAAGATTTGTGGAGTTGGCCAAGGAGGTGCTACCCAAAGCAGTAATTACAGAGATGGTATCGATACAATCCATCTCAACACCTCCACGTGTCGAAATGGTTGTGCTGGAGGAAAATGTTAAAGGCAGAAATGCAGAGAAATAGCTTTGCCATCCTCTTTTATTACTTGATCATTTTTGTCACAGGCTGCACCAGGATCTCAGCTAATATACTTCAGCCTGATGTTAATTATGTTCTTGGAATAGCACAGCTTTGTGTAAGGTGGTGGTGTGTGTTTTGTGTAAGATGGGAGGAAACTTCAGGTAGAAACTCAGTATGAAGGTGGATAGAAATGATCTCTGAATGTGAATTTCAGTGCTTTCAGAAGTTTCTTAATAAAATACCCTAAAACTCTGTCTAGATTAAGAATATGAAGGGAAAAAAAAATCATGGAAACTGAAATGTGAATGTACGTAACCTTAGTATAGCAAATACACTTCAAATAAAGCAGCAGATGCTTTCATCTTTCATACTTTAAAATATACAAGCAATTTATAATAGATCTTAGGATTTCTGCTTGATTTGTTTGCTTTTCATAAGATTAACTGGCAAATGAAAATCTGCTCTAATGGAGATTTTAATCTCTTATAATGCTTTGCACAAGGAATGTTATTTTAAAAGCTCTCTGTATAATTTCTTTAAAGGTTCCAGTTTATATTATTAAAAGAATGTGAAACTGAAAGCCTAATGGGATGCATCTCCTTTTTCATCCCACGGGCAGTTGATTTCCATTTTGTGCTTTCTCTCCGTGGGCAGTGGAAGTGGGAGAACAATGTTGAACTGCATGAGATAGGGAGGAGGGTTTTGGTGGACACGACAGAAGGCAGCAAGCCTGCCATCTGGTTGTAGCGATTATCTCAGACCGTCCCTGCACCCCTCATCTCACTTGTGATAGCTCTGACGTTTCACTGCTGTCTAATGTTCTACTTTAACGGAGCCTGTGAGGTTGGAGCATATCTTACTTTATAAAATGTCTGTGAATATATGACACTGTTTTTTCTCTGTAAGAGCTAATAGGGTTGTGTAGTGGACTTTTTTTTTTTTTTTTTTTTTTTTGAAAACGCATTCCCTTTGAATTTTAAGGAGGTTTTTGTTTGTTTTGGAAGAAAAGTTGTACCTCTTCGGTTTATCTGAGGGGGAAATGTCACACAGTGTTCATTTTCATATGTTGTGAATGTAAGTGTCCGGCTTCCATTTTTTCATTTCTTTTTTTCTCTGCAGAAGATTCCTGAGATACATACCGTTCCCACACATTTTAATGTTTGAAAATCAAACTCCACCCTTCCTGAAAGTGAGGGGGAAAAAAAAAAAAAAACCAGCAAGACTGTTTTCTGCTGTGCTGTTAAAGTATGCAGTGGTATGTGTGTGTTCATTTATATGATTGTTCTCTTTCTTTTTGAAAGCAACCACAGTATGAGAGTGCATCACTGCAACCTCACGTTTCAGAAAGATCAGCACCCCACCTTGAGGAGCTTGAGAGAAAGATTGCAGTGGCTGAGAATAAGGAGTTACAACTCAGTGAATTTCTAAAGCAGATTTCAAACAAATCTAGCGAGGAGAAAAAGAAGATGGAAGAAAAAGTAAGTGTCTCTCATGTTCCAAATTTCCTTTTGACCTTGTTAAAATGGCATATATTGAGCTTGTTAGGAAGCAACTTTGTGTGGAGATTACAGAGCTATTTTCAAAATGAAGATAAACTTTATCTGTGAAAGTAGGCATTGGAAGTGGATAAATCTGAACCTGTAGTGAAGAAATATCAATCATTCTGCATATTTCAGACCTGGTAATGGCAATTTTAACCATATATCAGTTAAATTTATTTTGAAGAAAGTCTGCTCTGCTCTGAGCCTAAGAATTCATTTAACTTGTATGTTTATTACAACAACTGAAGTATTTCCTAAAAACACAGGAGAAGCATGGAAATGAAAGCTCCTTTTTAACATGATGCATAGATGCAGGCCTCACACTCTGAGATGTGCTAAAGGTGTCTACTCAACGAAAAGCAATTCTCTTACAACTTCCTTAGGAAGCATGAAGCAGCCTTCAATCTGAGACAAGAAAGAGGCTTAGCTAACTGTGTTCTTGGAACTCTCTTGATAAGAAGTTTCTTTGGAAACCAAAGCAGTACCTAAGGTGGTTCTGAATGTCTCGACGTTATTACAGGCTGGAATGTGCCATTGATCAGTGATTTGTAATGTTCAGTGAGATGTTGGCGGTTACCTTCTCTTTAATCAGTAAATCTTACTGTTGTACTTAGATTTATATTCATGCAGATTCAAGGGGCAGGAGCAATGTGGTACAGTAAAGGAACAGATAAATCCTGTTGTATGCCTTTCATTGACAGTAACATTCAGGAAGAGCAGAAACTGAATTCTTCTGCTTCGTCTTGTTTCTTTTAGTGTTTTTGGTGCCTGTGTTCCTGTGTAGGAACTGCTGCTGTGAATGGTGGCAGTTCTGAGCAGCTGTGCCCCAAAGTCTGTGTCAGCTGGATAGTTGGTTACCAAGAACCTGATTCACTGTACAGATCTGATCCACCTCACAGCACCCACCCATTCTGTGTGCTGAACAAAAGGCTCTCAACAAGAAAAAGGACAGGAAAGGAGCATGTGTTGTAGTAATACATTGAATGCCCTCCTGTTTGAGGGAAGACTGCAGAGGGAGGAAGGCAATGTGTGGTGATCCTGCAGTAGGCTGGGTGCCAAGCCTGGGGACAGCCCTCTCTGCAGTTCCTCAACTGTGCCTGCACAGAGAACCCCAAAGCCCAGAAATCTCGGTGTCCCTGTTGGTGGTACCAGACATTAAGGGACAAAAAAATAGAATTTATGTACTGAACAAGGATTATGGCTGGTAGCTGTTCTAGGGTTATTTTTGAGGGAATGCTTATGTTTTTGAAGAGGCTTTTCAATCCTCAGTCAGACTCGGCCAGCGACTGGGGAAATGATAGAAGCCTGAAGCAAATTAGCTATTAGATAAGCTTTGTAAGTGCATGTTTGAAAGGACACGTGCTATATGTATCTAATTCTCTAGCTACCTACTGTTGCAAATATTTTTTCTTATGTTGACATTTTAAACATACAACAAATACAAAACAAATACAGTGCGCAGATTATATGTTTTTGACACTAAGAGACAGGCTGTGATTGTTCTAGTGCAGATGGGAGGGAAAAAAACATAAGGAACTCTGCCATTTCCTTGTCCATCAATTGTCACTGATGAAAGGTCTAGAAGAGTCTCCCTCATCACAAAAACAGGATGCAGTGGAACTGGAAGAGGTTCAGAGGAGGGCAACAAGGCCAATATCCAACGGAAGAATATAGAAAACATAACTGCCTCAGGAGAAAAGTGGACAAAAGCAACTGGAGACTGGAAAAATGTGTTATCCACGTTCTTTCCTTACTGGTAGATATCTGCATATGGGCCCTGTTGGAAATTACGCACTGAGCTACAGAACTTCTTGGTCTGAAGTGCTGTGTCTAATATAGTGGACACACTGTTGAGAAACAGCAGGGTCTGCAGAGGGAAGAGGTGCCCATTACTCGTTACTGGCTTCATACCTCTCTTCCACATGCTGACATACCAAGCAAGGCAGTGTTTTTACCGCCTTGCAAATAGTACTGGTACCTGAAGAGGAGGTTTGTTTTCTTCAGGCTCCACATGTGCTCAGTGTGTAATTGAGGTAACTGGAAGTGCTTCAGTGGGTGCTGAAATTTCAGCAGCCTGAAAAGGCTTCTCTTTTGTGGCTGGCCAGATAGCTTGGCAGCTTGTGGCTTCCAAGATGAAGGAGTCTGTTAAGGTAGATACTAGATCACTCTTCACAAGTGTTCTTATCACAAGTGCTTAGCTTCTTCCTTTTTTTTCTGCCAAGCACAAGTGTGCCTTGTGGCATCTGTAGATTTTGCAGCTCTCGCTATAGTTTTGAAGCATTTCATCTGTAAGCTGCGCTGCTGAACCGAAAAACATTGAGTTCAGGTACATGCACCCTGCTATTTCCTCCTTCTCCCTCTTCTGGGATTAGTTGTGAAGACTCCAAGGCACCTCTGGTAGTTGGTACTAATGGTCAGCCCTTTGGTTTCTATGGCATGCTTTAGTATTTAATTGCCAGGTAGTGAGAGCCTGTCCCAACTAAGTCATATATGCATGCATGAGGGATGAAATAATAATAATAAAAAAAAAACAAAACACCAAACCAACAAAGCTTTCTTGTCTTCTCAGTAGAATGGCAGGAGTGAGTGGAGGGGGTAAAGATAAAATGCTTTTTTTCATCTCAGGAGAAGGTAGAAAAAGAGCTGTTGGGCTGATGCTGAGAATGTAAAGAGGACAGAAGGAATCCGAAGGCAAACACTGTAGCTATGAGAAAGGTAGAGGTTGTAGGTGAGAAAATTTCTTAGTGTACATATGCAGGAAAACAAAAAGATTCAGAAATCATGTAATCTTTGTCAGAAGTACTGCAGTATTCAGACTGTTCAACTTCTCATCCTTATTGGTGTGTGAGAAACAAAGAAAAGGGATTTGCATATTGGACAGTCGCATGCTCCTGGCCATTTGTCTTACTTGAATGTATTTTAGTTGCTGTCCTGGGACTTGGATTGTGGGGAGAGTATGTGTTTCTACAGGGCATGCTGTGGCAGAAAGTGATGGCTGAATTGCAACTTTGCCTCGCTTGAGTATGCAGTGTAGTTTGATTTTTGTCTAATCTGAGGGATTTTAAATTATTTGGAAAGCTTAGCTCAGTTTTGAGGTCATAATGGGGAAAAAAAAAAAAAAAAAAGGACTTAGCCTTTATTGCAATCCTCAGTTTTCTGGTCTATTTTAGAAGGCTCTTTCTAGAAAAACCTTTCTAGATACTATCAATTTAAACTTTTCTGTTGCCCACAACTCTGAGCTCTGACATTGTCATTTCTCATTGAGGTGGATGTCCTTAGTACCAAATAAAAGTACATTTTGCATTTACTGTCATATTAAGTGCTTGTTGTCTTTGAGTTACTACACAGTTTTGAGTAATAGCGATACTGTTTTCCATTAAATTGGACTCTGACTGGAAAATCTGTTGCTTTTTTTGCTTCCTTTCTCTCTTTTTTTTTTTTTTTTTTTTTCTCCCCAAAAAAAAGTACCAGCAGTATAAGCAAACTTAGTACAAGGCGCTTTAAGAAAGCAGCTGTTCTGTTCTGATGTCACCTGATGTAATTGACAGATGGCTTCACAGACCAGTTATTGGCTGCAGTTCTTCTTGGGTTAAGTTCTTAGATCTCGGTGTTTCAAGTCATTTTCCTAGGTCAGAAGAAGGGAAGAGACTAAAGTATCTCCTCATCATTTTTTGCACTGCAACATACTTCCTACCAAAGTGGTTGATGTCCTGTGCCTGTCAGTGTTCAGGAGGCATTTGGACAATGCTCTCAATAGTGTGCTTTAACTTTTGGTTTGTCTTGAAGTGTTCAGGCAGTTTAACTTGATCTTTGTACGTCGCTTCCAACTTAGCTATTTTAATTTTAATATGAACGTGCTCATTTGTGGAAAAAAATACATCTGTTTTATCTTTTAAATTGTACAGTTTGCTTTTTAGGCATAGGTGGAACAGCTGTGGTTGGAGTGTCTGGAAGTTTGTGCTGCTGGGATTTTTATTTTTATTTTTTTCTTTCAGTAATTAATGCTTTTTTGCAGTTGAGAATATAATTCCTGAAGAGCCTCTGGTCCCAAAGCAGGTTTATTTTCCACTGTAATCTTAAAACATTTATTCTTATTTTCTAGCTTAAAACTAGAGACCGCTATATTAACAGCCTGAAAAAGAAATGCCAGAAGGAGTCAGAGCAAAACAAAGAAAAGCAGAGACGGATTGAAACCTTAGAAAAATACCTGGCTGACCTACCAACACTGGATGATATAGAAGGTCAGACTAAACGGGTAAGATGAAAGGAGTTGGTTTTACTTTTTAAAAGCAAATATAAGCTCTGTAATATCTGTTGTCAAATGTTTTACTGTTTTCCAATACATTTCCCCCTATCTGTTGAGGAAGAGAAGTGTTTCAGCGTTTTAGGAGACTAAAGCTAGTAGCTATAAGGTATTGTCATACTTACATAACTGTGATGGGGCTAACACTATGCATAGAATAAGTGCCAAGCTGTGGCCTGCTGTGAGCTCTTCTAATATGGCCTTGTGTCTGACTAATGTAACCTGTGTTAGCTGCAAATTCTAGAGGAGAAGAACAAGCAACTTCAAGAAACTATGACTGAGTTGGAGAAGAAACTTGGAGAGGCTCGATCTCAGTGTAGAGAGAGAGAAATGCAACTGGTGTGTCAGAAGAAAAAAGAAAAAGAGCTGGTTACGACAGTGCAGAGGTATGAACAGCTGCCTGAACTGAGCCCTGGAGATGTGCTTTACCAACTAATATCAATATATAATGTTTTGTTTTGTTTTCCACTTACGCTCTATTGCAATATTAAGGACTTTGTGGCATAATTTTTTTACTCTGCAGAATGGCTGTGTAATGCACTAGAAAATCCAACAAGAGTTGGTTTGTATCAAGTTGCAAGGAATACCATAGAGAAGTCTGTTTAGAAATTCCTTACTACCATTTCTGAAGATGTAGGACACCAGCGCAGTGGCATCACAGGCTGCTGCCAGGCAGAGGATAGAGTAAACATGTTCAGCAAAGGAGCACTGTATAGAAACTGTCAGCATTCCTTCTTTGTAACTAATCTTGTCACAAACTGCAGAAAAGCTCCCCTGGATATTAGCTGAAGGGTTTATCAGTTAAGGGTCAAAGATTTAAATAAACTGTAGCTGTCTCTTATCTTTTCACTGAATCTGAGGGATACTTACAGAGAAATGTAGCTGTTGCTTGTCTGCTATCATTGAACTTGTAGAACTGTGTTTGAAAAAAGCAACAAAGCCAACTACAGTAGGATGGGTTGCCCTGTGAAGATTCCAGATGAAACTTGGAGATGCAGTGGTACATTTTAGATCAGCAGAGATACAACATTTTGTTTAATAACAAACAAATAAAAAAGGTAGGGAGAATCACTTTCAATATTTTATGTGGATGTCACTGCAGTTCAGCGTCCCACCCTTGCGTAAACATGCATGCCATAGCAGTCTGAAAGTGTTTCCATGATGAAAGGCAAGCTAGTGAGGATGTCTTGCCAGCCAAATTGTTGACACATTGTTTCCATCTTACCAACGAAAGGCCTTTTTTCTTTGTGCCCTCATAATCTAGAGGGGGATCATTTTGTCTTTTCTGAAAGCCTACAAATAGCTGAAGTGACCCTTCGTTTCTAAATTAGGCAGCAAGATTAATACTAATAAAATCTGTGTTCTTTCTGAGTGAAGGTGAGCAGGCAAAAGCTGTATGATTCTGGGAGCTTGATTTTAGCTGCGGAAGGCCTGAATGTTATGCCTTGGTGTGGAAGCAGCTGGCAGAAATGGCCTCATGACTCCCTGGCAAGCCAGATAAAGAGGGTGTGCAAGGTGGGCTGCCAGTACTCAGTGCTGCCTCAGATTCTGGATTCTGCTTTGGGTCACACACGCTCCTGTGACAAAGTTGGATTTTTAAGGCTCCTGTAACTTGGAGAAGCTCAAAGACTGCTCTGACCAGTGCTGGTCAGCAGCACAGAGCAGCTGTGAACTTACACAAAGTTTTCCTTGGTCTTATCTGCCTTCTCCTTATGCCATACTGCTGGATCTGTGCCCTTCTGGAGATATACTGTGTCTGGTCCATAAAATCATTTTTACATAAGTTGACTGTAGTCAGTACCACAGGTACTTCAGTCATTTAGGGTTTCTGTATCATTTATCCACTGTTGGTTTGCTCATTCATTAGGCTGGATTCTGCTAGTGTTATGATTTTGCAGTTCTTTTTGGAAAATGGTGAAACTTCCTCTTTTTTTGCCAGAACATAAAGCTTTTCTGCATTTTCTCAGTACAGTCAATTCTTTTTTTTTATATTGAATGGCAGCTTGCAGCAGAAAGTAGAAAAGTGCCTGGAAGATGGTATTCGCCTTCCAATGTTGGACACAAAGCAGCTTCAGAATGAGAATGAATGTCTCAAAGAAAAGAACGAGAAAGCCAGTAAGGTTAGTCTGCAAACTGCATGTGGTATTTTTGACCTTGAATCCTGTATTTGCTTTTTGTTTGTTATTTTGTCTCTGTAACAAATTATACATTTATTGCTAAATCAGTTTTTTCTTCAATACCTGCTTCTGTTCAGTTGAATTATTTTGTATTTATTTGCAGTTGTATGAGAGTTAAACTCTGTCTTGTCATTTGGTTTTTCAAAGATAACATGTAAAATCTGTGGCTACACACCTCTAAGTTGATTTAAAGAAAAAAAAAAGCCACAGGCTTTAGAGTTTCAAGCCTATTAAATTACTCAATTTTATATTCTAGGTCATAGACAATCAACAAAAACAGATAGAGGGACTCATTTTAGATATCCAGGTAAGAAAGAGAGTTTATTCTGTTTACTCTGCCCATGTTCACTTCATAAAGATGACATCCAAATAGGATGTAAAGACAGAAATACTAGAATTTAATCTTACAGACTGTGGTCGGCCCATGTTCTCTTGCAAGCTTTATAATGTATTTGTTACTGAAGTTTTAGGGTTTAACACTCTTCAGATACTTGCAAAGTGGTAAGCTGTTGCTATATAGCGTTTTTATTCAGCTGGTCTAGTAGATGTCATATCAGAACTATGTATTTCAAGTTTGAGAACTGCATTTTGTGAAGCATCTCATCAAATGTTGGGACTCGATAATCCGAAGTACAAAAAGTGACATTGAGCTTCACTGCTGAGATCCCTAGCAAAATGAGTGCCTTTTTATACCATGCAATTTCACAGAGTTAAAATGGATTTGTCTTCTGATATATTGCTCACTTAAGTGTTCTCGTGGTGGATCTTGGACACCCAGGATAGAGAAGGATTTTTCAAGACATTAGAGGTTACTAGAAGTCAGTTGCAGCTCTGTGGATCAGATTAACACATCAAGTTCTTGATCCTTGAAAGGTGCTTGGTGACCAGTGTTTGTTATGGAGAAAAGGAAACATTATACAGGATATAAGGAAGAAAGTACGACTAGCTCTAGAAGAAGCTGAACATTAAAAACAATAAGTAAACATCTGTTTTCGTTAAATATTGAAGCCAAATTCAATAAATTCCAGTTTCTGTGATCTTCCAGATTGGTATTTGTCTCTAGATTTTTTCTTCCCATACTCTGCAGCAAAAATTAAGTTACAGGCTTGACCCCTGAGGGTGAAGAGGGTATCTCTACTCGGGCTCAGTGTGCCTTAGGTTTGGGAGAAGAACAAAATGGTAGCTGAATGCCTTCTCCTTCTGAAGTGGAAGGGAATTCACTATGGAGATAGAATCCAAGTAACAAAGAGATACAAAACTGCTTGCATAGCACTTGATAGGAAAATGTGCTTTCTTTCTTTCACTTCGCACACTGGAGCAGAGTTTTCTTATTTGTATCTGCAGAAAGTAAGTTGTGCAAGTAAACAGCAGGTTTGGTGTCTGTTGACAACAACATTTTTGATAAGTGAACTACAATATATTAAATATATCTGGAAAAAAGCAGTGTGGAGTTGCAACATAAAGTATGTCTGTTAGCTGAGAGGCAGAATCAGGCATCTAAGCTCTCCTTGGTTTGAGGACAGCAAAATCTATCAAATGGTTACGTTTGCACAGAGCAGCCTGCCGTATGTGGAAATTATGGCGCAGGCAGATGTACTCTCATTATTCAAGAAACAAGGTCACAAATTGAACTCCATAACCTTCTCAAATTCTCCGTCCCTCTCCATAATTCAGTTTAGATTGTTTTGTTGAAATACACACGTTATTTTTCACCATCCTAAATCCTTTTGTATTTCCTAAATTCTCTAATCTTTTTCTCACCATCACCTTTATCTTGAGGCTTAGTGATTTCAGTAGCCGTTTATACAGATGTTTTTATCTGCGTATTCTGAAGTGACTTTAGGGATCTGTGACTGGGAAATGCTGAGTAGCTGCAGCAGACTGTGAACAGAGGAGTATTCTATTCTCTGGGACTTTCTCTTAACTTTCCCATTTTGAGATTATTTGTATAAGGCCAGAAAATAAGATTTGGAAGTGGTGTTAGCCCTCAAATTACTTGCAGACTACAGCAGTTTCTTTGTATCTTTGATCCTCAATCCTTTTCACATTTGTTCCATGGGAAGCTTTGAAAATTAGTTTGTAAGAAATAGAAATCCCTTATTGGCAGAGAGATGTAATTCATCTTCAGTTGAAATCTTATTTTATTTCCCATCTTCTGCCACACTGTCAAGCTATGCTTGAGAATGTCTTTCAGTTTTTCAAGCTGAAAGAAAATATTCTGCTTCAGACAACAGTGAATCGAGCAGTACTAGCTTCTGTTTGCTCATAGTCATGATGGAGTGATTTTGATCTCTTCCTTATATGGTTTTGCTTGCTTGATTTTTGTTTATTTATTTATTTTCTCCTGACTGTGAGTGATTAAACTTCTGGTTGATCTTGACAAGATGTCATGCTGTATATATTGCACATCTTCCAAAGGACAAAAATGACAACTGAGAGTCTTGTTTGCTTTTTAAATAAAATATTCCTTGTTTACATGATTAATTTAGATATTACAAAATTAGCATTTTTTTGTACAAAACAGCTAGGAATCAACTTATATGGTGCCTGTGTTACCCAAACTACATCTGTCAATCTTGTAAGTCATAATAAACCCAATCTATGCCAGGGCTGGAAATAACGCCAAGTTGTAACTTCAGAAAGCAAAAGGGAAAAGTAAGGATGGGTTATAGAGGACTCTCAGAACTGTGAGTATTGGGAAGTCATAGCACTATGGGATCTAGCAAGCTGGTCAGCATTTGTGCTTTTCCTGAGCTTTAAGGTAAGGATAGCATAGAGTGATAGATGTTAGGTATGCCTCTCAGAAGTAACACTTATTTCCATTTAGTAGATGCTGCTAGGTTGCACAGTTGGTAAGCTGACCATGTGCACGTTATTTTGAATATTATTGAAAGGTGATTTTAGAGCAGCTTGCATTGCAAGTTCAATGACAGATGTAATTCTCAAAATATACTGGGAAATGTAATATTTCTGAACTTGTTCTACCACCATCTGCCCACCCTAAGGAAGGCTACACAATAGAATATTTAATGTCTGTCGCTGGCATGGACTTGAAACATGTAAATAATCTAGTGCATGTGTCATATTGGAGCTTGTGGTGTCCCTGAATTTGCTCATGCAAGAGAAATGCAATAAAGACTGTTAAAAAGTGAAGATACTCAGAAAATGGAAAATCAGTGTTGGGTACCTGTCCTTATCTTGTTGCACTGTTCTCCTTGTCTCTAAGCAACTTCTGCATGGCTGCTAACCGCACAAAAAATCCTTCAGTCTGACTCAGTATGGCCATTTTTCTCAGTAGACTGTTTTTAAAATAAAATGAAGGTGATTGTTCAAAACCTCTGCATGTTACACTCATCTTTGAGCACAACAAAGGAAAAGCATCTAGCAGAGCTACTTCCTGCCCTCTCTTGGCCTGCAGTGTTTCCTTTGACATGGAGCCATGATCCTTTTTCTTCCTCCCCTTCCTTTGTAGCATGAAGCTGTGCTTTCTAGCCACTGCTTATCTATAGGATGCACACTATTTCAGCACTTCCTTGCTAGGGGCATGGTGTGGGTGAACTGAGAGGCACATCAAGCATGTGGAAATGTTCTAAAAACAAGTAGCATTTCTGGGTTCTGCCTTATGATTCCTGTTACTTATGATGAAAAAAGAAAAGTATTTTCATCTAGATTGAATGTGTAAATTTTAACACCATTGTTTTCTGGCTTTGAGGAAAGTGTTTTGTTTCTTGTGCACCATTGAGCTGAATCTCATTATTGGGAAATTTTCTCAAAGCTGCACACCATTTTCTCCATTTTCTGTTGGCCCTGCCCTGCTTCTCACTATTTCCCACCTTGTCAGCAGTGTTCCTACAGCTGGCTGGTCAGTTACAAGGCTTCTCCTTATGAAAGCCACAAATGTGGTGTAAGGCCGGCCTCAACGCATAAACATAGTTTCCTATGTGTTACAGTCCACAGTATCAGTACCTTGAAAGTTCCATTCTTCATACCGTTTAGGAATAGCTTTCACATAAGAGTAAGCTTGGCTTTCTTCCCAAACTGCAATTGAATCGTAGAATAAAGTATCCTAAGTTGGAGGGACCTACAAGGATCATCAAGTCCAAGTCCTGGCTCTACACAAGACCACCCAGAGTTGAAACCCAGTGTCTGAAAATGCTGTCCAAATGTTTCTCAAACTACATCAGCTTGAGGCTGTGACTGCTTTCCTGGGGAGTCTGTGCCAGTGTCTGACCACCCTCTGGTAAAGAACCTTTTCCTAACCCCCACCTGACCTTGCCCCGACACAGCTCCATGCTGTTCCCTTGGGCCCTGTTGCTGTCACATTGAGCAGAGCTCAGCGCTGCCCCTTTGCTCCCTTCAAGGAGCTGCAGCTGCCATCAGGCCTCCCCTCAGCTGGTTCTGCACTGGGCTGAGCATACCGAAGGACCTCAGCTGCACATCATGCACCTTGCGTGAGGACAACTAGGTGTTTCACCATCTTTGTAGCTCATTTTCTGATGTTCTTTAATAGTTTTATATCCCTCTTGAGCACACCATCATATTGCAACAATTAAAACACATATTTTACTCAAGATTGACTTTTGATCTTTCTGTAACATTTTGTTTGAGCTATGACATAGAATTCCCTATGACTGAGTTCTTTCTTTTGGAAGAGGAATACTTAGGATTTTAACTACAGAGATTCAAGACAAACCATACTTCTCAGTGTCATTCTATAAATTGAGATCCATTAGTTTGTAAAACATTCCATCTCCTCCTCCCATAATGGTGTCTGGTTCCACTTTGTGGAAGGTTACATTCAAAATTGCTAGAGCACACACTGTTGTCACCAGTGCACCAGCTGTAGTTTGAGCATGATGAGATTGGATTTGCATCCAGTAATTGACACAGGTTTTACACATGAATATGCTGAGCTAGGAGTGGAGAAGACACTTCAGATGCAATGTTGTAGCACAGCATCAAATCTGTCAGTAATTAATGGCAAAAGAGGATTTTTTTCATTGTGAAAGATGAAAAAGTCAGGAATACGTATCAGCAGTAAACTTTACAAGCATTCAACCTTTTGGCTTGTTTGGGGCTTGCTTGGGGTGCACTGAATGAAGAGAAATGGATTATATTGGGCTGCATGTAATAAATATAATATAGTTAATATAAGGAAGTGACAAAACATTTTATTTTTTAATATTTTTTTATTAAAACAGAAAAAGAGCAACAAAAGCATGAAAATAGTGGGATATTTGACCTTGTTTTTTGTGAAACTAATGCATCGGTCTGGTATAGTGGAAGTAGTCGCAATTCTTAGTGAGCTCTCAAGATGTTTGTTGGAGATTTCTCATGAAATTTTACTTTTCCCGTACTTCATCCTTGAATCATAGAATTACCTCAAGGATCATCAAGTCCAACCGCAGCCTAACCATAGTACCCTAACTTTAACAACAGTTTTCTCTTGAAAACAGTTGTTCTCAAATGTGCATGCTGCCAAAAAGCGATGACGTGAATATGATGTGATTGTGAACTGAGGGGTACTTTTCTTTGGAAAGATAGGTCTTAGAAAAGTCTGGTGGAGAAACATGGTTATATTTTTGAGTTAAATACCTGATTACAACTCTATGTATTCCATTTAAAAATTCACAGATAACATACATTATATCGACTTGAAATGGAGTCACAAATAAACAAACAAGGGGATAATTTTTTTCAGTATTTTCATCAGATTTCAGTATTTTCCTTCAGTATATTATTCAGAAACGTATTCTCAAATTCCTTTATCAAAACAGAAGGCACCTTACTTCAGAAAACTAAATGATGTTCTCATAAATAGCATGCATGGTTTTATGAAACTTCTGGAATTGGTGATGATTAAATTCCTTGGACTTTATGAAATTCACAGCTTTTGATTTGCATGATGTTACCAATTTTTAAAGCCTTTGTGCATAAATTTTCTTGATGTAAGGTGCAGTGATATTTCATCAAACGTGATGGCAAGTGCATAATCTAATGTTGACTCTTTAAGTCCCTCTTCTTTACCAACTGTCATCGGAGTGCCATCAGTAGCATTGCTGTAATGAAATTTCTACTGCTTCATACAAATCAAGAGCTGTTGTTGTCTTCTAGTGGATCCAAAGAAGCCATTTCTTCAGTGACATTCATTATCAATTACTCTAACGAAAAAGACAAGTTGAGCCTTATCTATGGCATCAATAGGTTAATCTGCTGCCTCTCAGAAGTAGCATTTATTTCCACATTTAGTAGTTGGTGTTAGCATAAAATTTGAAATAGCACCTTTACTGTCCAAATTTCTTCTGCTAGATTTTCCCATTTCTTCAGTTTGCCTGGCTACGGTCTGGTGAGACAAACTGACTTTAGAAAAATCTGTTTTTTATCAGGAAAAATTGTATCTGCCACGCTTTCTAGGGATTGCATAATGAATTCACCATCAGTAAATGGTTTTGATTTTACTGCAATCAGATTTGGTACCACATAAAGTAGCTTTTGTAACAGAGTCTGTTTGAGTTGTAACTTTTTTTTTAAGGATTGGTTGAGGTAATGGACTTTTTTTCAGTTCTGCTGTTTTGTCTTTAAAAAGCATTCCTTGATATTCATCGAATCTGACAGAATGTTTCTGCATATATTGTCTTTTTCAAAGATAATCTCTGAAAACTGACGCGATTTCCTTATGAATTAAGCATAGTGTCATATTATTTGCCTTGACAAGAAGGCACTATTCTCTCTCTTTTTCATTGAACACTCTTCTTTCATCTACAGTTTTTCATTCCTTGGATTCCCTTTTCTTTTGAGACTACATTAGGTAGCTAGAAATATTATTGTCAGTCAGTAATCACTGCATTGAAGTCGCTAAGCGGCACAAGCGCATGTAATGCAGTATGTGTGGTTTTCAGTTTGACTGTGTGCATGATGAGTGGAAGAGGTAGAGTTAGCACTGCACTGCACCCTCCCCTTGTCCTGGTTTCAGCTGAGATGGTGCTAATAGCACACCAATGTTTGGTTGTTGCTGAGTGATGGGTGCGTGCCTGGGCCCGAGCCAGGCCGCTTGGTGGGAAGAACGGCTGCCATGATGGTGTGGGGCAGTGAGTGGGCCGCAGTGCGGGCTGTGCTGGGCCATGTGCAGCCCAGTAGATGTGGGTTGGGCATGCCTGCTATTGCACTGTTGCTAGTATTCAGGTAAGATGATTTGAATCTTCCCCTTTCTGAATTTTAGCAGATGACTTTGGAAACATATAGTAGAGTGAAGGTGTGCGTTTGACAGCTAAGGTAGCTGTGGCCATGCTGAATTCATTAAAATAAATAAAAATAAATAAATAAAATCTTACAGGGAATCTTACAGTTCTTTCCATGTTGCAGGAGTTGTTGGTTTATTGCTGATTATCGCTGACATGGAAGTCAAACTCAGAAAGCTCTAGTTCCTAAGTACAGCAGCATCTGAGAAACTTATTTCTGATTTTATTAATGATGATTGTAATTATTGCATCTGTTAAAAAAAGACAATATAAACTACAAATAAATTATGTTTTTTTTTTTTTTTTTTTGCCTATAGTTGTTATTTTAGCAAAGTAAAATTGTAGTACCGTATCCTGATTTATGTTGTGTGAATGCTTTTAAAGAGGATGTTACACTGTGTCAGCTACCAGATGCTTTCTTCTCTGCTGTATAATAAATTGAGTAGGTAGATACTATGTTCTGAAAGCTTGTAGGAACCCCTGCCACAGTCTTCATGGAAAAAAGAGGCAAAAATATGTTCAGCTATAACTCTGAAATTGCATAAATGAAGTTAACTTGTCGTTAGTATGCTTTTTTCAAGTGAAATAATTTGGATACAATAAAAAAAATTGTGTGATTGTTTTAGCCTTCCATACATCCCTTGTTATCCTGTGTTAGAGTAACATTTTGCATACGTGGTCTGTTTGCTTAAAATCAGATGCTAATACTTTAAAGAATATCACAGATATTTGGTGCCGCTAAGTTAGTGTCCATAGAGCTCTTGGAGCCCAGTTGGACACTATGAAGTGGAACTTGGGAGAAATTCAGGTGTAATTCAAAAGCAATGAATAACAAACTTAGGAATTTACTGAGGATATGTTTTTTGTCAGCGCTAACCTGCAGTGTGAAAATTTAAAATGATTACCTGTGCTTTCTTTCAATTTAGTCTGTGCAAGAGAAGCTTTTGCAAGAAAAGAGGACAGTTCTGAAGATGACAAATGAACTTGAAGAAAAAGAAAAAAATATAGAAGAGTTAAATAAAACCTTCTCTGAAGTAAGTAAAAACTCCAAAAACCCAATCCATGACCATGCCAGCTAAGAAGAACCTCAGGAAGTGATTATAGTCGCTTGTGGTAGGGCTTTATGAGCTTAGTAGATACTTTGCTGTGATACATGTTGTGCAGAAATATAATAATGGCATCCTTACCTCAAGAAGAAAAAGTTTTAAGTGTGAAGGCCACTAAGAGCTGTGTAAAAGCTGTCTATTTGCTGTTCTTTGGAGAGGTCCATCTTTTATGTATGGAAGTAACTATTTTTATTTAGTATTGCTTGTGGTTTGAGACAGGAAATTTTCTGTGATGCTACATGCTGTAGACTAACGACTTTTTTCTTCTTTATTTCTCATGAAGAACCAAAGACTGACAGAAGAAAATGCTTCTCTGAAAGAGCAGATACGGCAGGTGGAACAGTCCCGACAACCAGTGTCTGAAAAAATGCCTGTAGCAGACCAGTTGTTCAAGGAGATGTCCCACTGCTTGTTTGAGTTGAAAGCTTTGTGCAGTATTCTTACCCAGAGAGCTCAAGGCAAGGAACCTAACCTTTCTCTACTGCTGGGAATCAGATGTAAGTGATGTTATCATTCCAGTGCTTACTAGTGTTTTGGACACAGAATAATAGCAGTTTAGCTAAGTGGCGCTCTCTTGCCAGGTGGAGAGGATAGTCTTCCCATGACTGTGCAACCAGAGCAGTTGTGCACAAAGTATACTCCTGGAGCTCTTGGAAAGTGCTGAGCTGTTAGCACACCTGGGATGCCAACTGCCTAAGGCTATACAGGTCTTTGTCAGGTCAGGAGGAGATGTCTAGATGTTCATACAGACTCACTTCTGGATATATTCATGCCCTTAAAAAGGAAAGGCATGTATCCTTGTGTCTCCCTTGTGATGCACGCAGCAGTCAGCCCTAAGGGTTAATGGACTTTTTCTGTCAAACATATTTTGCCCTTTAAAATAACAAAGAAGGTGAGGCATAAGCAGGCCATTTCTTAAACCCCTTGTGATCAGATGGTAGTGTAAGTCTGCTGTTTGAACGTGTATATATCTGATTTCAAGGGGACAGTAGCTGTCTGTGTGTGTATGCCTGGGTACCTGGCAGCTCTAGTTTTGATAATGTTAATTCCATATCCTTCTCCACTTCCCATACGAAGTGGATGGAAAGTACATCTTGATGCCAGCCGTTTAGAGATCGAGTGTAGTTTTTGTGAGGTTTTTCCTTTTAACAAGCTTAATGAACTTTTTTTTCCACTTGAATGTATCATATCCTAGTGCTTTCTGAATGTTAATTAGAACTACTCAGACTGTTTGCTGAACTCTACCTTCAGCAAAGTAGGAAGGTAAAAGTGCAGTGTTCTGTAGGCACCACATAGATTCATCTGCCACTGGAAACCTCTGAAATGCTGTGAGTGCACGTATACCGGACTCAAAGTCCATGAGATCGTTGTCAGCCAGCAGGATAAATAGTGCAACATATCTGTAGTACTATCTTGTAATCTTATATGGTCTCATTTCCCAAGCTTTTCTATCCCTCTTCACTGAGTGGCTAGAAGCTTCAAAAATTGTTATCCTACCCAACTTTTTCACTGTTTTTCACTGTTGAAAGTGATTAGTCATTTCTGAGTCTAGGTGCAGAAAGAAAAGGACGTCTTTCAGTAGAGCAGGGACTGGCTTTAAGTTCACGTGGTACAATGTTTTGTTGGCCTTTCGTCACACTGGAGCATGGTTTTTTTTTGAGTTAATTAAAGCGACTTTCCCTTTATTTCAAGAGAGGCTGACTGGTTTATGTATTCAGAGCACAGCTGTCAGAGCTTTAACCTTGGCTTTTGTTTTTTTTTTGTAGCACTGAGCTGCTCAGCTGAAGAGAATGAAAATTATCACAGCACAGAGACTCTCTCGAAGAAGCTCTCAGACGTTTGTCAGTTACGAAAGGATATTGATGAATTAAGGACGATAATATCAGACCGTTATGCTCAGGACATGGGGGACAATTGCATCACTCAATGACAACATTTCATCCAGTAGCAAATGACTTATTAAATGCTGCTGTGTCACAGGTCTTTGCATTTCTATTAAGGAGCCATATTAGAAGATAGCAACCACTGCACATGCCTCTCTGTGAGGATCATGCATATGTAATCTTCGGAACTGGGTGGGGAAGGGAGAGACATGGTTTGAACAGAGTGGTACAAACTTCAAGAAATCTTTCTTTTCTCCAAACTACTGAACTTAAGAACAAGCTGTGAAGAATTTTTCAGTTGGATTCTGTTTCCTTCATTGGGTTTCCTTTTATTGCTTCAACTAGTTTCTGGAATTGGAGCTTTGGAACAGCCGTGCTGCTACTACTCTCAGTCCTTTCCTCCTTCAAGGGTTTGTGTGGCATTACCTGTGTCCTGAAGTCAGTGCAGAGAGTCAAATGACCTTTGACTGTATGTGGTGAAGTTGGGGGCTTCTGAAACTTCACTTAGCTGTAGGAACTGCAGTCGGAACAGTCTCAGAACGCTGCAAACAGTAAATGCTTTTCAAGTTGCCTGAAGAATTTGCTACAGGAAGTATCTTGCTTTTAGGAATGAATGTTAGCTTGTTTGCTGAAGAATGGAAGAAAACCAACTTTCAATTCCTTTATGCACATGAATCCCATAAGATTTAAGCATTATCATATTGCTTTGAGGAATTTCAGTAACATCAAGTCTGTGACAAGCCCAGAGAAAATGGGAGGCATGAAACTGCAGGGTAGTATATGGCTGTCCAAAAAGAATAGACTGTATTTTAGTGTTCATACCATAATATTTTTTGTTTATGTCACCTCCATTTCAAAATGTGGCTTCTCTGTATCTGTATCCTTGGAGACCTCTGATGAGGTTGTAAACAACCTCAACCATTCTTTACTGCAGCTACAAAATGAGTGTTAGGCATTTGGCAAAGTCAGGGCTCAAAACAGAATGTCTCCGCTTACCAGTATTAAATTCTCAGTTATGCAAGGACTGCAAAATTTTCCACGTTGTTTGGTTATTCTTGATCTCTCCTTTCTTGCAGGAAGAGGTTACCTTAAAAATAAGATCATATTCCATAGTTTGTTCCATGAGCATCACTTGGCTGTGCTACTTCACTCCCGTGGGCAGATAAAATATTAACACTTCCACTTTCCTGGATCAGTATTGAAAGTTATCTGAACAGTTGTGTGTGGTGTAAGATGGTAATTAACTGCAGGTAACGAAAACGAAAATATATGACCTTCGGTCATACATGTGAATTAAAGTTTCAAGTGGCCAGTGTGCAAGTCAGTCTGCTGATCTGTATCATGGATAACAGCAGAAATCACTTAGCATAGAGGTTAGAATTGTGTAAGTTCTAGGGTGACATTTTTATAGCAACAGTTTTCTGATGACATCTATTTTAACAGAAGAAAAAATGGTTATAACAATGTAGGCTGGATTTACAAATTTTAACTTGGTGTTTTGTTTTCTGTTCATTGTTATGCAGTTACTGTTAACGTGTTTATAATTTAGTGTTGATTTTTTTTGTTGTTTTGGGTTTTTTTTCTTTGCTATAATGACTAATTTATTTGACGGTTTTCTCTATCATGAACCTACACATGGACTAATCTGTGAAAAATTATGTTGCAGTGTATACTGTTGCTACACAGTATTTTCAGATAGAGATTAATCTGACTGGCCCAGCTCCGGTGGGCACTAAAACATCCAGATTAAATCTCAAGAGAAATTGCGTGGTATCTCAGCTCGAAGGTTGAAGGAAAAAAAAAAAAGAAGGCCATTTTATTTTAATTTGTTGAATGCTGTTCTTTCAGTAGTTTTGAAAGTGTACTGTTACACTAGTGCAAAACTGAAATCAAGGATCTTTGCACTAATTTTCCTGTGTCTCTTGATGCAAAAGCATTGGGTTTTTTTATTAGGGACACACCTTGTTCCTTTGGTGTAGTGCAGTGGTTTTGGCCCTGCAGTGAAGGAACAGTCCCCAGTCTATGACTTCTGTCTGCTATCAGAAATTCAGCAACAGCGTTTCTAGAAACATTATGTGACAGTGAGCACCAACATAGCACACTGTTACTTCCTTAGATGGAAATGCTGTAGCTATAGAAATGACTGAGCAACACATTTTTCTAAATTTTGTGGAAATAGAGCATTTAATAGAGAATTAGCTAGCAACAGGAGATGTTTGAAGTCTGTTTGTCCTGTTGTGTTGTTGCTTGACTGGTGTGGCTCCACTGTCTTACTTGCTGAATGTACTGCAGAGTTGAGATCAGTAATTTAATATTTGCAAAGCACTTCAGGAGCTGTAATGCTCTGTAAGTATTAGTTGAAAGTCCCTCAGGAAGGAGGTCCCGTTGTATTTGTAATACTTTGTTTGCAATGCTGTAATCTTGCATTTTAATATTTTTTTTTAGGGAACCCGTGATATTTATGTTGACTTTAAGGCACTTGGTTGTTGTTTTGTTGTTGTTGTTTTGTTTTAAATATATATATCAATTGAGTTTACCTGCCTCGGTCAGATTAAAATAGGGCTGTAAATGGTGGATGGTTGAGCCAAAGATGCAGGCTACCAACTGAATATCTAAACTGATACTGTATTTTGCTTTGGTTTCTTGAAATTGGGCCTGTTGTAGTAGTAGCAGTTACTATATATGCATCACTTTAGAGATGCCTCTAAATGGAATAAGCTTTGTCTATGATATGCATGACTGATTAATTGGTTAAAATGTAGTGTGTGTGAATCTCATTCAGCATATTTAATACACAGTTGATTAATGAATGTTAACATTGGAATTGCTTGGATTTAGTCATGACAACTTTTTGCTGTGGCTGTTAGACAATCTCAAGGGCTGAAAAAGAACTGCTAATGAATGGATACTGTACTGTTCTGTTTGTCAGCAAATTTGTACAGTAATTTTTTGTATAGTTTCAGATTGAATTTGTACAATTCTTTTAGAAGGTATTTACAGTAACTACTGTATTCAAGAATGTATTTTGAAAAAAGACTTGGAAAGTCTTGGGACAGGCTATAGATGATGCTGTTTATTTGCTATGTAGAAGTCATGCAGCTCAACTGTGTAAACATGATTTAGGTTCCTAGCCCCAGTTCTGTCACTGTAGGGTGCGATAATTCTGTGAAATTGCCGACACTGCTGCCACCACCCACCCAGACTTCAACATTTGAAGCTGCTGGTGGCTCTGAGGTAATGGCAGGAGCTGAAGTTTTGTCCTTTTCACTTCAAGATGTTTCTTCCCTTCCTTTGCCCTCACTGCCTGCTTCTTGTAGCACATGTTCTTCTGGCAAGGTAAGAGCACAAGGAAAGAAAGAAAATCCTTCCTCTGTGACCCACTTCCCTAGCACTTGTTCCTTTCACTGGTGTTACGTAGGAGATGCAGATGTCATTGGGCTCTTCCCATTGGTGTAACGAGTTCTGTCAGGAGAGAGGAGAAGACCTGAATTAATCCACTTCTGTTGGCTCAAACCAGTCAGTGGTTATTAGTGAAAGGGATGATTTATTCTAGTAGCTCCTTAGCAATATTAATTCCACAGCTGCATACCTTTGTGCCTTTTTATGCCTGAAGTTAAGTAGAAATTCCCTTTGAACTTTAGATGAGTTGTTAGAATGCTGACGACTGCACCTTGTTTTCCTCTTATCTGCCAATATTTTGTTGGGCTTTTGTAGTAAGAACTCTGCATAATATCTAGAAACATAAGTGCTGACAACAGGTACTAGGTGTGCGCTCGGAATGTTAGCCTGCTTGTAGTATGCAGCTCTCTATGAAGCGTGAGCAGGAAACTCAAAGCATAATGTGATTCTTTTGTGTGTGTTAATTGCAGTATATCATTAGTGCAGTGGGGAGGAGTGTCTGGAGCTATCTGTTAAAAGCACAGCTGACATATGTACTAGATCAGTCCCCAAAGACTGGTAGTTGTGTAAATTGGGTTCAATTTTTGAACCGCTCAGAATACCTCATATGTAAATAGAGTTGTCATGACTTAATCAAAATGTGTTTGTTGTAAAAAGTAAAGGAGCCACTGGCTGGCTCAGCTTTAGGCTTGTTGTTCTTGCCTCATTTTGTAATTTTTTTAAAGTAGGGTTTACAGCTAGAATTTTGAATGCCAAAGTTCTATTTATTAAATAATAATAAAAGTTTTCATTGTTAATGACTGGTATTTTTTCACTGGAATTTGTTTGTTGATGTTTGGGATTTGTATCCACAGAGCAAAAATAAATTTTGTTACAAAATTGATTTCTTCTCTGCTGATTTTTTCCTGGCATTATTTCTTGTTCTGAAACCGAGACGTTGGTAGCAAAACTACTACTTCAGTGCAATGCAGTGATTTTAAAGCATTGTTGCTTGTAATGTCCCTGCTCCTTTTGTAAGAGGATGCTGCTGTTTTTCCTTGCTCGTGGAGAGATTATAGATAGAACTTAAAAAAAAGACTGAGTTGGTACAAACTCGTAGAGAGAACTGTTACGATCATTAGGCTCAGAGCTGCTGGAGCCGTCATCAACAAGTGGTTTCCCCAACACCAGTCAAGCAGGACAGAAAATAAAAGGAGAGGGTGAAGCAAAAGCAGCAGTGCATCTGAGAGAAAGGGCACATGGTTTTAATGGTAATTTTTCAGCTATGAATTTTTCAACACTAATGGATGCGGTCATACTGGAGAGCAGTTACGGCAAACAGAAATCCTTCCTGCATGAAACACCACAGTTTGTCACAGACCAATGAAACCAAGCAGTGTTGACTTCTTTCAATGTCAAACTAGTGCTGTCTGAGGAAAGTGAAAAGTTACGGTTTGAAAAATCTGAAGAGGAGTCTTCCCAAATGCTGAGTAAGTGTGCTTACCTGGAAATGATTTCTTTTCAGGCTGCTGCCCTTAAAAAAATCTTAGGACCCAGCTGGAGCATCAAGTGTTGAGCGGTCTCTCTTGACAACTGCTCTTCCTCAGCCCCTGGCTATCTTCACTGTGCAGAGCGTAGAGGTCAAGGATCTTTTTCCTCAACCTTTGGAAGATGATGGGAAATTTATTTTGATAAGCTAATGCATTATATATGGTACAGATCACTTGCTTTTCTCAAACCTTGTGACTGAACGTTGAATGATGTGCTTTTAATTCAATTAAAACATGCTGTGCCCTGTATAAATGTATGGAAAGGGCTGCACAGGTGCCAACTTTCCATAAGATTTCTGAGGGTGACCTTTTGTGAACTGTTCAAAGTCAGGTTTAGATTTCAGAGTATCATGATGAAAGCGCTGCTAACAATAGTAGTGGTAGAAAATGTTCTCTTGCCTTTACACCACAAACAAAATACTAGTCCAAATGTGGTTAGAAATAAAACATCAAACAAGAACACTGCAGGTAACACTATGGCATCTTGAATGAGGACAAATTTGCTGCAGCAAAATCTGCAGTAGATTGTCTGTTGTATATTAAATTAAATGTTGTAAATTAAATAATTCCATCGGGGTTGCTAATGATGCTGGGTCGTTTGTTTTATAAATGAATGGGTTCAGTGTACCTGGAGAAATTCCAAGTGGTGAAGGAAAGCATATAATGAAGAACTATGGTATTAATTACATGAATATACGTTAATAGTACATAGCTCATGCATATTTATTTTCCTTTCTGTGAGTTACTCCCCATCTGGGGGCTGCTGCTGCTTCTATCTGCATGGAGCTGAAGCCTCACTTCCAGCCGTGGCGTTGCATGGCTTGTGGGGAACCCGATAGGTTCAGCTAATGCTGCTGGGCTCTTTCATGGACAGCTTGGCAGCTACCCTGAAGAATGCAGCCCGTGTGTATTAATAGACCAGAAAAGTGATTCACTGTTCTATGTACCTGTGAAAGGATTTGCCTGGAAGAAGGAGAAAGGGAACTGTTGTCAAATTCTGGACTGGAGTGAACTGTAATGCTGAAGCTGAGGTAAGAGGATTTTCTGATTGGAGTTTCCCCTGAAGGGAGAACTGAGTAGAACTTAGTGACAGAACTAGAGGGAATGGCCTCCACTTGCACCGGGGGCATTCAAGTTGGACGTTAGGAAATAATTCCCTAAGAGAATGGTCGGGTGCTGGAATGGGCTGCCCAGGGAGCTGTCGGAGTCGCTGTCTCTGGAGGTGTTCAAGAAACATTTAGATGTTATACAGATGGACATGGTTTAGTGGGGAAATACTGGTGGTAGGCAGATGGTTGGTCTGAGTGATCTTGGAGGTCTTTTCCAACCTTGGTGATTCTGTGATTCTAACTTGGTATCATAGATACTTACCTCTCTTCCATTAACAGCTGAGACTACAAGCAGCTCCTGACCACCAGATGTCCCCAAACCTTTCCTGTCCAAACTCATGCTGAGCTTCATGGTGACCTTGGGTGCCAGCCTGGAAAGTTGGCTCAGCCCTGCAGCTGTCTGTGGTGTGATGAAGGGAACCTGTGCAGCTGCAGAGCCAGCACTGTCTCCACACAAAGCACCTTCTGGCAGAGCCCAGCCTTCTTTTAAGGGATTTCTCTGGCTGGGACACAAGCATGGCAGCAAATGGCTTTGGTCTCAAGGAGTGTAAGCCTTGTTCCACAGATGTTGATGTGTATGGAAGCAGCTATGAAGTCAGATTCACCTCCTCACTGTCTCCCAGTCTGTCGCACGGAGGCAGGGCAGAAAAGTAGTTTGAAGTATTTTGGAAAGTGAAGAAGTGAAGGTGAGGAAAGCACAGCACACAGGGCCCAGGCCCCAGCCTCCTGCCACTGCCACCTCCTCTGATGAGATGAGGCTGCCTTACACTTACAGATCGTAATTTTTTTTTTCTTTTTACTTCCTGTCAATAGAAAATCATAACTTTAATCACTACATTTCTACAGTTTAAAGCAGTTTTTCCCTCTGCCTGCACTATAGATTCTCTTAGGCCAAATTAATTGCTGTTTTCTTTTTATGATGCCTGTGCTGAGAAGGCACATTATGGAAACCAATTTGGCTGAGATTTTGAAGCTGAGGTAATAATTTCAGCAAGGACTCATTGCACTCTCTATAATCATATCCACTTCCACTCATTTTCCAGCCTACTGCAACCACTCTCAGATGTTTCATGATTTGTTGTTACCTCTCTAACCTCAATGCTGTCCATGAGGTTTTTGGGGCTGGGGGCAGGTGGGAAGCCACAGACAGAAGAGCTGCCTGCAGGAGGAGGCTGTGGTGGGCACAGGGGCTGCTCATCCCTCAGCGTTGTAGCTGGAGCTGGGCCATCACCAAACCTCAGCCCCTCACAGTCTCCTTTTGCCCACCTCACTCGTTGCTTAGGGAGTGGAAAAGGAAGGCTGCATCTCCCCTGCAGAGAGCAGTGCTGCTTGATTGTGCAGTTGGCCCTGGACACGCTTCGTTACACAGGCCTGCCACAATCACATCATTGGTTACACTATCTCCCCTGCCCTAGCACCCATGAAATTGTGGGGATAATTAATGGGATATTTTTAGTTCGAATTAGAGCTTGAAATTGTTAATTAAAAGCCAATTATGATCAATCTGTTTTTAACATCCCTTCCTTCTCATAGTCATAAAAATTAATTACCACCATAACGAGCCATTCAGCGGCTAGCCCTGATGCTGCCCAGTGACAGCTTCACAGCTGGATTTGTCACTGCCTGGGAGCCGCATGCATGGACCCAGCCGAAACTGTGCAGGTGTGCAGAGCTCACTGTTTGTGCAGTGCTCTGAAGTTCAGCACGTGAACTGCCCCAATGGCTGTCAGAGAAGCTTTGCTTCCCAAGCAGACTCAAACTCAGTGCACGCAGCTTGGCTTCACAATGAGAAAGTAAGAATCCTTTGCTTTTAAAAAAATAAAAATAAAAAGGTCATTCACTGAACTTTGCTGTGACCTTCAGAATGCTGATCCTGGCCTGTAGAAACAGATTTGGGCCTTAAGATACCTCATCTGGGGATTAAACATGTTTCAGCAGCTCTGTCCTCTGAAGAAGAAATACTTCCTCTGCCAAATTGACATCAGCCATTTCAATGGAGGGCTTTTCTTTATTGCCAGGAGCAAAGAGAAGCTGACGTTATTTCACACTGGAATGGCATTGCATGAGGCTCAAGAGGAAACAGCTTTAAACTGAAAGAGGGTAAATTTAGACTAGATATTAGAAAGAAATTCTTTTCTTTACTGTGAGGGTGGTGAGACACTGGAACAGGTTGCCCAGGGAGGCTGTGAGTGCCCTTATCCTGGAAGATTTCAGGGCCAGGCTGGATGGGGCTGTGAGCAACCTCATCTAAAGGGAGGTGCCCCTGTCTGTAGCAGGGGGTTGGAACTAAATGATCTTAAACATCCAACCCAAACTGTTCTGTTTCTGTTGTTTTCTGACAATAATAGAGCAAGCACTGCAGATGCTGATAACTGACCCATACTGGGGGATGGGGACCTTAAGCCAACCTTTGGGCTTAAAAATCTGATCTACTGCATCAGGTTCCATTTTCAGCTTTTTTGATGTTTGAAGCTGAGAGACAGGAATATTCAACCACGAGGCACATTGTCTCTGCTTTGTATGCTGTAGAGGGAAAGCTGTCACATCCCCATGTCAGAAGGAGGACTTTCCTATACTGGTGCACGCAGTGTGGACATAATTATGACTGGGGCCACTTGCTGGAGAGCGAAGCCACAGCTGTCTGGGACTGTGAATTAGCAGCTCTGAGTGTAGCAATTTATGTGCACAATTTTTTAAAGCCCAGCTACTCTTATTTGTACACCATAGAATTACTAACAACACCCTCTGCTATTTCCTCAGAGAAAACAAAAACAGGTTGTTTGTAATGTACAGTGTAAGTGGCGACTTTACAAAGCAAAAGGATGATTCTAAGGCCTTCATTAGATAAAGTAAGAACATCCAGTTGAGAGAAGAAAGCCATATCCTTTCAGTTTGCCTTTTTCTTCTCCACCCCCCCCTCCTCGGAAAAGCAATGACTCACATTGCTACAGGCTCACAAACAAATAAAGTGGCGATTGCTGTAGGAGCTGTAATTCATCAGTTTGTCCATGAGGCTGCTAAAGGAGATGGAGTGAAAGCCTTGCTGAAGTCAAGATGAGATCATTCATTGCTCTTCACTTGTCCACTGAGCAAATCATTCTGGTGGAGAAGTCTATCAACTTGGTTACACATGATTTCCCCTTCATAAATCCATGCTGACAATTCCCAATCACGCTGACTTTATTACGTTCTGAAACCATTTCCAGCACTGT